CGGGGCCCTGTGCTCCCCCCGGCGTTTCTCTGCTCGTTCCTCCCCCCTTTGCACGCACACACACACACAGAGATGCTCACACGCGTGTGCTGAGATCCAGGCACACGAACATACGAAGGGAGAGACAGACACACCCCCACGTGTGTGCACGCACACGCGTACACACGTGTAAGGGCAGGGACACACACAGACACGTAAATGTACACAGATACATACACCCCCCCATACAGACACTGATACACCGATGTACACCTACACACCGACAACCGAATACCTGTACGGAGACACGCACACACGGACACATGCATCCATACACGCGCGCGCACACACAAATGCACGTACAGACATACGCGTGTACACACAGGCAGCACAAATGTGCGCCCGCACGCAGGCACACACGTACAAACCCATTCGCACTCGCAGGTGCACACACAGAACACCTGCACAGATACACACATAGGTGCTGGCACACACGCACAGGTACACGCACACGCACAGGTCTGCGTGCACGTACACACATATACATACCACAGCCACGTGCACACAGGCGCATGTGCGTGCACACGCATACACACACCCGCCGATGCAAAGGCACAGAAGTATGCACACACAGACACGTACACCCCAACACATGGCCACAACACATGGCCACACATAGGCACATGCACGCACACATATATGCACTGACACACATGTACACGCCACCACGCGTGCATACATTCATGTACATACGCACGCACGCATGCACATGGATACACATGCATGCAAACACACAGACACGCCAGCGCATGCGTGCACACGCTCGTGCACACACCAATGCACAGGCACACACGCAGGCACACACCAACACACAAGCACACTCGCACACATACATGGTCACACACGCACACGCAGGCACACGCCAACATACACGCACACACTTGCGCGTGCGTGCCAGCACGCTTCCATGCATACACACGTGTACACACATGCCAGTGCACAGGCACACCTGCACACGTGTGCATGTCCCTACACACACACGTGTGCGCACACACACGTCCGTGTTGCAGCCCTACCTGCACTCATCCTGCCCGCAGCCCTGCCTGCACTTGCCCTGCCTGCACTTGCCCTGCCTGCAGCTCTCACTGCCCTCTCCCTACGTGCA